CTTCTGAGTGCCACCTCTACGCTTGACTCCAAGCCCACACACGTCTCGCTCTCGCTCATGACTACTCCTCGAGCAAAGATGGCCGCATCACGATGAATCGCGACGCAATGGCACAAGAGCAAGCGGCACGCTAGAGCGGACCTCCAGAGAAGAGCGGCCCGGGCGAAAGCAGCAGGCTTTCGACACCTCCAAAAAGATTGTCCGAGAGTCATCAGCATGGACAAAATTTTACCAAATCGCTCAAAGCATTGCCCGAGCGTGCTGACGGATCGGTACGCAAGACGATCAAAGTTCCACTTTCGAGCACCAGTGAGGAGGAAGAGTATCTCGCGCAAGCCAATGACCGTGTATTATTGGCGCGACTCGCAACAAGAAGAGACGAAAAGACATTCAGGAATAGGCATTAAAGAGACGATTTGGATGCAGGAGCGATCAAGGCAGAAAGAGAAGAGTGCGGAGCGCAAAGGCTGTGCTAATGTGACGATGCATCAAGCAGCATCATAGCCGAGCTACAATGACATGGAAGAACGAGGTGCGTGCGTGCGGTGCGGTTTTGGAAGAGCCGTTGCTGGCCAGCAAGCAAGGCCTTCTCAGACCTGCACCATGGACCTAGGCATAAAGGTGGCGGAAGTGGGAGTGTTGGGCAAGGAATTGGCAGCAGGCGAGCCTGCGTGTCCAAATTTGTGTCTCCGCTTTGACGGGTGGGCATGAGCATCCCAATCGCTCGAGCGTCTCGCATCTGCGCTCAAAGGCGCTGGGCGTTTCCGTTCGGATCGGTCCAGCTTCACCTCTACCTCGACCGGGGAGACGGAGATCCAGCTACTGTCGCTCGAGCCAGCTTCCCCATCTGCCTGCTCTTCTCCGTGCTCGGCTCTCGGCTCAGAGCTTGGGCGTGTGTGTCGCTCATGCAAGTCGGTCTCGCTCAGCGCGTGCGCCTTACCCTCTGAAGAATCGTCTTCTTCCTTCGGTGCGGCAAAGTCTTTCCTATGCGTCGAAGTAGCATCTCCCGCAAGCCCCTGTGCTTGGTCAGATCGCAGCTCCGGCAGAGCGGTGTTCCGTTGCATCAGAGGCGACCTTCTTTGAGCAGC